TAGCAGCAGCAATCAAACATGTGCATGACTGCCATGCATGCTTGTGTACAGCTGTTGCATGGCAACCTACAGCTCGCTTATCCTACCTGACTTCAATATGAATAGAGTAAAAAATCGAAATATTTTCTGTTGGTAATCGACTGCTGAAAAGCAAAAACTTCGCTGCCTTGGCTTTCCTTCACGGCCAGAAACCCCCCTAAACTGAAGAAAAGCATTCCATTGTCCAGTTTTCTGTTTAAATAGTCGCGAGAACGACTGGTGCATCCTGGTGCAATAGCATCTCATCTTCAAGCAAAAACTACACAAATAGACTACCTAGCGCAGTAGATACTAGATAGAAAACGTAGGCAAAAGCTTGTCCATGCAACAAATATGGCGGCAAATCCCACAACTACCTACCCATTCGGTGCCGTGCCGTGACGTCATCATTGCGAAGCCGTAAAAAAGCTCATTTTTGCGGACGTAGTTTGTTTATTGCCTTTGACGTCACTGATCTCAGTGACGTCATGGGCATTAACTCATCACCGAAAAGCGATCAAACCCGTCAAGCAATTCGTCATGGGAATGACGAGTTTGTTTACGTTTCTCGATCTCAGTGACGCAACAAGAGAGCTGAACTGAAAGGCGAAACTTCTCGTGGGTCAACCCTGTATAGTTTAACCATGAGTTTGCTCTACCTGGTATTCATGTACAAATTTATTACTAGCCCACATATTTTGATTCAAAAAATTGGTTGAAGTGTTAGATAATTTAATATATAGCGGTTTCAGCGTTTATGTTATTAATAATGTACAGTAGTTCTCTGTCATCTGAGACGGACGCTAGAGAACCCAGAAGAACTACTAGTTCATTCTCTAGTAGTTTTGGGCATACGCTTGAGAATGGGCATATGCTTGAGCATATGTCTACAAAAGCCAAGTACACTTTTTTCCATCTCTTTTCATTCTCCCGATCAGTTCATCTACTTAAAACATATGCATGAGCCACATGATTCGCTTTCTCGGCTACGTGTTCCTACAAGCAACCTGTCGTTTCAACGAGTGTGCGTATGCCCCTAATAGAAATTTGTCTTACGTCAGTTACGTGAACTAGTAAGTGAAAGTGATGTCTGGAACTTGGAAGGAGAAAATCAGTTGCGTAAAATCGTGAAAGGACATGTACCGTGTACGATCTTGCGCTCTCTAGCACTCCGAATTTATATTGATATTTTCAAATAAATTTCATATGTATGAATGAATTTCCCTTTTTGTAAACTAAACTCATTTATCAACACAACTGGCTTTCTGATTCACTCTTTGAGTTTGATGCGCTTGAGACGAAATTTGCCAGTTTTTGTTTAAATTATTTGGTCGTAATTTTTTGTGTTTTTTTTTCAGGCTGTCAGGCTAGAGCTGACAGCCTGACGGTGATTTAACCGGTTGCCTTTGGTATGGAAAACTCCAGTTGCCTTGCTGGTTCAGGGTTTAGCGTTGGAGTTTGGACTTGGCAAGTTGGCCCTTGGACCCTCCCAGCATAGTGGCAAAGCAGAGAGTTTTTTAGACTCTCCCTCAAGTTTGTTTTTGAGTCCTATAAGTAGACCAGTAGAGCATAGTGGCAAAGCAGAGAGTTTTTTAGACTCTCCCTCAAGTTCATTTTTGAGTCCTATAAGTAGACCAGTAAAGTATCCTGGATACTAGCATCATCATAC